TTCCTTGTTGTATATACACGAGTCTGAATTTCTCCGGAAATAAATTAATCGAAGCCTTGTCTGAAGTTTCTATGATATTCTTGGGCGAACTCATTCATTTCCATGATTTCTATAAGATCACATAAATAAATCAGCAATGACATTCAATAAATTAAATGATGACAGCAATATTCAACAAACGTCAAAATATCAACAAATGCCATACCTACCATGAGAAGAAGAATGAAAAGAAAATGCTAGGAGCAATGAACCGCGTTTCAAACTCGATTTTTCATTATAAGATAATTTTTTCGTGACTTTTTTTATTAACCACGAGCGTTACTAGATCCTAACACACTTGGTACATCAATAACTTTCATGAACGTATAATATTCACTCTTCTAAAAGTGTTCAAAGACTTTTTGAATTGAATTCCTGAGAAAACTTCATATTTAATCGCGCCGTCAATCCTCACTTCTGCAGAGACAAGCAGCTGAATAATGTTTGCATGCTCACTGACCATGCGTACCTGAAGCTACCATTAATAGCATGGTGGAAATATAATATGGTGTGCACTCACGTATCTTGAATTCATTGAATTCGTTTTTTCTGCAATTGCTTTACTCGCGTAGTAGCACACCATATTGTATTTCCACCATGATTAATAGCATGTTGCTCACATCACTCACACCTACCACCTGAAACGTTCCCGAGTACCATCAGTGGTATGCGTACCACCGGTTGAGAACCCCTGCGCTAAACTATACCGCGAGAGCTCTGCGAGATTCTTATTTCACGAATCGAGTCGAATCGGCCATCTTTATTCGATATTTGGTACTCTGTTTCCCGAATGAATTGTCTAAACTCAATTCGATTCCTCGATAGCCCAAGAGGAGTCGAATTGATGCGTTTTGTCAATATATCCTGATCTATCATCGAATGTTTCTCTTCATCTTAATCTCAATTTGAGGTTAGATCATCTTGTTTATGTGAAACTCAGAGATGCCCACTGGAAAATCAATAAAAAACTGTAAATCAGACTGAGCCAAGTCAATTCATTGGGGCTTGGCGAGCGAACTTCTGAGAAATGGCATGTGCTGTCTGAAATTGATCTAGACGAATATCAAATCGGTACAAGTTGTCGAAATACATTAAGCTCGTCTTGATAGTAGGTTATGTCAAGAGGTTTGTTCATATTTCACTCACTAATATGCAAGTTTCACGCCATTTCTACCTTGCACCTTCATGTATAATTTATCTTCGCAGTATTGCTTTTAAAATTCGAATTGCCGCTCAACTCGTCTTAATACATATCTTTGTTTCCGCTAGTCTCAAAGTATCAGAGAAAATCGTAAATGTGCAACTGAAAACACCATTCCGTACGTGATCACACAAGTATGACCGATTCATTGAAGCGAAACTTTTTACAACAGGCATTCCCTCAAGAAAAACACAAACTCAAGCCGGCCAAGATGATGAAATGGAACGAGCGTGGCGGAGGAAATACCTGTTGATGCGACGATGCAGACGGGCCGTGCCTTTCGTACGAGAGATAGGGTCGAGGTCTGCAAGCGTCTGCGTTCTGACGGTGCAGACCGCTATTCGGATACGTTCCAGGGGCCGGTGAAAGTCTAGAATGAATGAGATCGAAAATCATGCTACCATATCACAGAATACCCAAGAATTGTTGGGTATTCTGTGACCAAAGACTAAACGCACGAATCCGTTTTGCCAAATCAGAGCGATTTGGGCAATGGCGGTAAATTCAAATCACTATTTGACTGTGTGGGTAGCACTGGAACTTCTCCAGATCTTTAGTTGATGTTCGGTGTCCAGAGCATGAAAAATAGGCAGAAACGCGTTCTTTTTGTTAGTGCTTGGAGATTGCGAAGATTATTTTCTATTTTCAGTATCAGGATAGTTCAACTCACAATAATTATAATATGCTCGTCTCCAGAATCACACATTATCAACATAGATTGGCTATTTCAATATTTCCAAAAGTAAACAATAAGAGCGTATGCGCAGGATCGTTCATTATACAAGTTTACCAAAATGCGTACTATTTGGGAGTAGCACAAGTGCAACAAATACAGGGCTGCTCAGGTGCATGAAACATCAGAAAGTGGCTACCATAGTAAATAATAGTCAATACCCTTAATTGGCGCGGAATCCAGTCTACAGAAAATTTCCGGCCGAGAGCTTCGTTTCAAGTGGACTGCATGTTATTCTTGTACTCAAAGAGCATAGTCACGTGCTTTATCGTGGGCATGTTGACTACTACTGGCTAGAACCAGGAGCCAGAAGGTGCAGAAACGGCCAGAGCCTTAGATGGTAATAACGATAATCATTCATGCAACCGATTTGTCGAAATGAGTCAATATAGGTGACAGCCGCTAGAACTCGTAGGCACTCTTTCAGCAAAGATATTCATGGATTATAAAATCAGGAATACACAGTTTGAAATTGAAGGATTGCTTGATCCGAAGCGTTCATAAGATTTATTTGGGATTCAAGCAATAACTGCTCAAGAACTGTCAGTAATTTGTGCAATGAGGACGTTTCCTATACTTCAGAAAAAATTTCAAGAATTAGTTTTGGGTCCGTCACCATTCTGCTGATGTCTATGAGGAACTGTCGCGATCGCGACGTTGCCATGTTCACTTTATTTTTCAGGTATTCAAAATTTTTATATTGATTGCAATGAGACTCTTTTAAAATATTGGCTGCTGATATACGTATGATATTTTTTGTGATCTCAGTTTACTGACCAGTTTAGAGGTATGTACCAAATTTTACAAAAAATCAATAGTTTATAATAATATTCCTGATGAAATGACACTGTATATTTCAACAATATCATGAAAAGCTGTATCTCTCAAATTTGAATCTTGAAATTAATAGAATCGAAATATAAGGTTTCGGAGTGACGCTTTTCATCTGAAACTGTCATCAATGACAGTCAATTACATCGACTCAGCTCAACAAAAAACATAACTCCTATGCACAATTACCAACATGACGTAATGCGCAGCAGAAAAGGAAGCATTCTAGTCTAGTTTGTCATTTGCTGCTGTGTTGAAAGAGTCAGGAGGAGGCAACAAGTCGTCGAAAATTCACTTCTTACACCATACTTTGATTTTTTCCTGAAAGCCTTCAAAGAACCAGTGATGAACATGGTGAAAGTCATATTAAGATAGATGCCAAGGTTATTGTCATAAAAACTTGACGTCGTATTTTTATTTTCACTTCATTATTTGACATAGGGTCAATTATACGATCAATATTGATTTTTAAATCAACCGTAATTTTTGGTCCATATATCGTCACTAAATTTTCTTGGGAGGAAAAAATTGGATCGTTTTTATAGTCGCAGTATTCCAAACACGCTAAAGTCCTTTGCAGCCTGACTGAAGAACGACAGACGACGTGGGCATTAGAAAACATTCACAAATTTTGGCGAGAATTATCATCAAAATTCGATCCCGCCTGAAGAATGTATTTTTTTATTATCATGTTTTGAGGTTCCAAGAAAATAAATATCAATTCAATAATTTAATCGAGCATTTTTGATGGAGTTACGATCATAGTTGACCTGTTTCCATTCTAGACACTAATTTGTGTCTAACTTTCAAGTACCTTGACAAAATTTACATGACCTACTTCTAGATAATTCACTTAATATGAATTGAGCTCCATCTCCATTATGTAATTTGATTTGACCATTAATCATTGATCATTAATGTATAATGTACAACAAAGAGACTATAATTGTGTCATAATGTAAGGAACGATTCAGAGAATAATAAGAGCATTGAATTAGATAATAGCTATTAATATATCAAGGAAGCAAAGGTAGCGGATGGCATCAAACACACATGGGAGGAAATAAAATTGTGCTTCAAGCGTTCCAACTCTTCGAGTCCCGATCCAAATCAATGTGTTACATGATCTAAGGTATTTGAATCTGAATGATTATTCCACTTATTCAAAAATACGCGTTTTTGATTGGTTGAAATATCTGTGGTGATAATCGAAAACATGATGTTTTCGTTTTTGTGTTTCGGCCGTCGATCAGCGGCTAGATACCTATCTTTCTCCTAATTCTCTCAATTTTTCAAACCTTTGAAATTTATGTCATGTACGTCCGTGTACTGTCAGTTTCCGCTTTTTCCATCAATTTATTTGTGGTTATGTCTGATTGTCAGTGCTTGTCCATACTCTAAATATACAAAAAACGTCAAAACATCAAGTATATTCAGGAACTCTAGTGAGCATATCCGATGTCCCAGAAATATAGATAGAAAAACGAAGGAGAAAATGGCGGGTATACCAGTCAGTATCACCCGGTATAATAACTCTGATCGCTAACAAATAAAAATAAAATAATAAATACTCGTCAATCGTCTCGTTATCGATATATACATATATATATACTTAGACGTTTACGGAGAACGGGACATAAGATCATTCTGAAAATTTGGTTACTCAAGTAATTGCTCTTGATCTATCGATCTAAAATATTTTCAGCTCTGCGGCGTTGCCGCTTCTATCGAAAAGTAGCAACAACTTTGTTATTTTAAATGGAACACCCTGTATTTTATCGCATTTTCAGATTCTCTCTGAAGAGCTGATTTCATCGATGTATCACACTTGGGGTCTAGCGGAAATGATTACAGAGATATAGGGTGTGAAAAATCGACATTTTTCAACTTAAGGAATTTTTTTTGTCGAAACTATTCATAACATTATTGGTCAAAACGGCTTACATGTCCCTATCTCAACTTTTGATTAACTATCTACTGATATTTAATTGGGACATATACCGGGTGATCAAGAATCTGAATTCTGCACCACCCTGTATTTGTTTCAATTAAATGTCAGTAGATAGTTGATCAAAAGTTGGGATAGAGACATGTGAGCCGTTTTGACCAATAATGAATAGTTTCGACAAAAAAAATTCCTAAAGTTGAAAAATGTCGATTTTTCACACCCTATATCATCAAGCGACCCTAGCTCACCTCACGTTCGGGCTCTGCTGGCTGCCGGCCGGGCTGCGATGCGGGTGGCTCTGGCCGTACGGGTCGGGAGGCAGGCCGTTCTCGGGGGCAGCGTGTTGGGCGGAAGTGCCCTGCGGGTGGCTGGGGTACGGCGCCGTGCTGCCGTTGTGGCGCGCCGATCGCGTCGCGTCCGCGTGGCTCGCTGCCACCGACGGGTGGACGTTGTTGACTGAAAATGGTGGTCGTGAATACGCTTATTGAACGTTAGAGTTCCTTAACCTTTTCACGGAGGATAGGTTTTTTGAATTCAGCAGGGGGATTCTGTTTCACGATCGTCGATTGTCGTACGATACGATGATGAACTTGAAGTCGAATTCACTTCCTATTCTATTTCTCGATCAAGTAGCGATCGAATTCGACTTCGGAAATCGTCGGTTTTTTGGCGAAATGGGATGAGAAGAGATGAGATTTTGATTCAATGAAACGAGCACCGAGGCCATAGCCCCATAGCCATCACAAATTTGAGGTTATGGTGGTTATATTGTTTTTATGAATTTCAATTTTTGCAATCCCAAGACAAAAATAAGAATTATTCTAATTGTTCCAGTCGAGATGGTATTTCAGCAGCTAAAGATAGGCAAGACAAGAACTATGAAACAGAAGTAGGTACCCACCTAATCCTTTTTCATTACCTGAGAAATGATTTATTGAGCTATTTAGATTGAACGAAAGGTTGGTTTGTCTTCAGATACAATCATTGAGACCCCACTTATTAGTAGATAGGCCAAAGTATGAAGGGAATAGGTCAGGAATCGGTATACAGAATCTCAAATATTCTGTGCACTGAGGTTTTATGCAACTATATCATAGCAAAGATGCTACCTTACGCCATTTCTCAGGAGTTCACTCGTCAAACTTCAGACTTCTCTTGAGCTATCAAGGAATCGAGTCGAGTTTACACGATTCATTCGAGAAACAGAATACCAAATATCGAATAAAGATGGCCGATTCGACTCGATTCGTGAAATAGAATCTCCATGCTGGTCTTCTGTACGGCTGTTTTGGGCTGGTGCTGATCAACAAGGTTCCAGCAGTTGTGTGGAGGAATAATCTCGCGAACATATAAGGTTCCCGCAGTGAACCGATAAATTGATCATGAGCCGTACTCGGGATTTTCTAGGGAATTTGGAATTTATCGAAAAACCTTTCATTTCGATCATGAAATACTTGGAGTTTACCCTCTCATAATTTCCAAATGGAATATTGAAACAACTCATTCGGTGAAGTTATGATGCGCGAGTCATTTTTTCATGTGTATGATACTGTTTTCCCGGGAACCATAGAAAACTGAATTACTGTGAGGGTTGTGAAACTTTTTGTAATCGTCTCGGCTAGCGACAGAGTACCATCTATATGCAACACAAAATACAATTATAATCGCGTGTACGGTCGCTTCCCGCTGTTAACCCAAAAAAGTTAGTGCGTATTTATCCGGTTCCAGCTATACGAACACCACATTTTTATACGTAGATATCCGGTTACCGCAGTGAAGAGGTTAAGCTCGGTTTCACCAAACGATTGGATCAATGATACAATTATTCAAGAAATGAAAATTAGAAATGTCAAACAACATTTTGGTGGAGCTATTTGATGAATACAAAATGCAGAGGAATCAATAGGAAATTTGAAAATTCTGAAGGTAATCAAAGAAAACTTTGGGATACAATGAACTATTGTTTGAGAGGTTTCACAAGATCAAACAAAAATAGTGTTATTGAATCAATAAAAATTAATGGTAACATTGGCAATAATGTCAATAACAAGGTGCTACTTACTTTGATGGGGATGAGTGGAGATCGGAGCGGCAGCAGGCTGATTGGTCAACGGTATGGCCAATCGAGCGTTGACGGCCAGCAGGTGATCCCTCCTTTGCAGTAATGAGCTGACGTGCTCTTCCAGTCTCAAGTTCTCGGCGCGCAATTGGTGGAGACAAGAGAGCAAGGAGGCGACTGCACACAAACAATGAAATAATTTATTCTATTTATTAAATAAACAAATTCACTTTTACAATAGAAATTAATTACGAATTATCAAAATAGCATGAGGACAATAACATAACAGCATCGTCAAATGAAATCGGGAAGACCACTAAGGAATGAAATCCGTCAAAAACCTCTTTCAATGGATTGATCATAATATAAAATTAATGTACAATCAATATCATAACTTAAAGTTGAGGGGATTGAATCTATAGCGTTTTGAGATCAGCATATTCCACTAGATTTTTCAAAAATTCAAAAGGTGTGACGTAATAGTCCCGAACTGTAGCTACCTCTCTCTGATACCTTGCCATTCTGAAGAGTTGCAGTGTGATTGGTCAGCTCAAGGACAAGCATGTTGGGACTGATATGTCACACCAGTCACACCAATAAATTGACACTATTTCAAATAGCTCAGGAAGTGTGTGTTTTGAAATGAACATAATTTAAAGCATTTTTTGTATCGTCCTAGTATGAATGAAAACATTCAAAATTATATTTACCAGTACTTTTTTGCTATAGAGCTCACAAAATTGAACTTGTAAACAATACTAGAACCTATGCAAGAACAGAATTGAAACAACTTCCTATATAGACCCCTTAAATTGAACAATTTAATTATGCCCAAAATAGAGAAAAGGGAAAGAGGTTAAAAAATAGCTGGTTGTGTGATCATCTAACTTATCGAGTATGAGGTTATTAATGAATAGGTCGCGTGCACGAAGACCGACCCTGGAGGCAAAATATTGAAACACAACCTCATTCTTCTGTGAATTATTGAAACACAACCTCACTTTTTTATTTGGTTACAGAGGAATCAAAAGGTTGAAATAGTTTTTCACAATATTTTGGCATACGAATCGTGTTTCTTGCGTTATTCATTAATTCAAGCATGCCTTCGCATTGTGCTGTTGTACAATGCACAAAAAATGCAGCAAGAGACTAGGGAATATGATTTTTCAGGTAAATAGTAATCTCACATAGTTAGCAGTATGAAATGTTGTCATTCCTTATTAAAATTCCTTCTGCCTTCTGCCACTCCTGCAATACAAGCTAATAGATTGAAAATGTCTACAACACACACGATCGTCCGCATGTCAGACCAGTCCTACCGATTGATTGCATGAATCCAATCTTCTTGCATTATTCTAGAAATTTCAGGTATATTTCTATTAGCTGATCCTATTGCAGAAGGAATTCCGATGAGAAATCAGAGAAATAACCAAATTTCAAAAATGAAAACTATGTGAGTGACTATAGTAGGTACTTACTTTTGAATCATAATGTACCATCCGGATTTCTTCATCTTCCGCTGCAGTTTTTGTGCATTTTACAACAGCACAATGTGATGGCATTAGCGAATTGATGAATAGCGGAAAAATACGATTCATATGCCAAAATAATTGTGGAAAACTATTTCGATCACTTGTAAACAAATATGTTTTGCCTCCAGGGTTGGTCATCTGACAGTTCTTGCACGCGACCTATGCTGATAGTTTTTATTGAGAGGTCAGAAGTCATGCGTCACCTTTCCATCAAATTTAAAATTGCATAACAGAAACACTGAAGATTCTTCCAAATACATTTTAGGTTATCATTGATTTCATTTGGATCAGTATTTTTTTTTCTCCTAACTTTAACGAATTCTGTATTTGTTTTTACTGTACAAGGAGGATGAAACAGAAAATAATTACGCCTCAAGATGAAATATATATCGCCGATGAGTACATCTAAGGATTTCAAGAAAATGAAGAACAACACCATGACATAATATGTATAACTGAATTAAAGTTGACTATATTTCACTAACGCCAATACTTTTCTGAAGTAATTGATCATCTGAGAATCTGAATAATTGCTAGAGGCAGGGCTGCAACTATTTAAATCGAATCACAAATCATGATTTGATAAAAAAAATCAAATTTGGTAATTTTTTCCTCAAAAATCGTGATTTTTCGCAACTCTGGCTAGAGATATAGATACTCACTGTCAAAATGTTGTGCCTGTTCCATCAAAAACTGCGATCCTTGTTCCCACTGTCTTTCCAACAACTGGTCGAGGGTTTGCGGTATGGTACCACCGCCTCCGCCGAGCATCGACGACAATCCACTACCACCAGAGGTCGTACTCGAGCTAGTACTACTCGCCCTTGCCTATAACATCGAAAGTACAGTTTCAGAATTTGATATCAAGATTAATTACCAGTGCTTTTTCAATCAGTAAGAAATCGTTTTCTAAAATAGGTGATTTCATAGACCTTATAGAAAGCAAAATATGAAAACAACATGCCTGTTTTTATACATATTTTCGCCAAGTCACAGAAATAGTCATTGATAGTGTTTTGATAAATTTTTAACAAAACATGATTTGATACATATTGAAATACTAACCAAAAACGTTAAAAACTCAGACTTTTCCAAACTGAATAACTAATTCGAAATTGTATTAAGACATATATACATATACATACAGGGTGGGTCACGGTATATGGTACCTTAGACGTTTACGGAGACGGAACATAGGATAATTCAGAAAATTTTGTTACTCAAGTAGTTGCTCTTGGTCTATCGATCTGAAATATTTTCAACAATGCATTTTTAGATTCTACCTGAAGAGCTGTATCACACGTGGAGTCTAGCGAGAATAATTACAGAGATATAAGGTGTTCAAAATCGAGATTTTTCAACTTTTTCGTTTTTTACTTTCTTCTTTCTTTGAATTCCAATTCCAAGACCAGTGTTTCCTAATGATCACTTCAAAGCTAGTCAAAATTATGTAAAAACCAACGTTCTTGATTTTTCAATTTGAACATTGACATAACATACCTCTGACATATTTAAAGGAGAGCTCTGATCATGGTGACCAGTTTTTTCCGTCAATAAGATTTCAACAATACGGGGTTATCAGCTTTAACCATGATGGGTAATGTGAATGAAATATCCCATAAAGCTCACCTACCTACTTATTACTGTACTCACTTGCTGTAACACCTTATGATGCAACTGTGGTCCTGTCAGACTGGTCCCCAGCTGGTCGTTCGCGCTGAAGATGCTGTGCGCCTCGATCTCGTTGTTGAGGTGATCGTTCATCTTCGAGTGCATCGTCGAATTGGGATTCAGCTGGTTGCCCAGCATATGAGGAGCCGACATGCCGTTCTGGAATCTGGAATAATAATAATAACACCCATTGATCCCAAGAAACACACATGTTTATGGAACAACAACAACAAAATTATCGAATATAATATTCAATAAGAATAACACTTAAATCATAATTATTCAATATAAAGAAGAGAATTACATTGATCCAATAGATTTCATTTTGTTGGGTAGACTATTATGAATATTTTTTATTGGCACCCTACTATGGCAAGGTAACACACATTTTTAGACTTCAAATAGAATACCACTAACAGAATGTTCAACATATTCTTTTTACCTTATTACATTCTCACTACTGAGATCAATTGAGTTAGAAGGAGGTGAAACGGATATTAATTGTCGATTGAATAAAAAGAACACGTTTTTATCAGTCAGGAAGGGCAAGGGAAGAAAACATAACCCAACATAATTCAACCAAAATGTAAAATGGCTGAGGAAATTAATGAGGAGCATAGAAATATTATTGTAGTGAGTATTCAAAGGATTTAACCTGTGGACTGAAACTTCAAAGCTGAAAGCATGTCAAAATGAAAATATAACCTCACAATTTTCAGCACAGAACCACAGAATTACTAGAATTAATCCAGTCTCACCTTTTTCTCACTACAACACCAGATGAATGGCAAGCTCAGTTGGGGTGAGGGGGAAGAAATAGTCTCAATAAGCTCTCAAGACAACTCACATCAGACATAAATGAAACATGTAATACAACTGAGCCATTGAGCTGCACTGAGAATCTTGGTTAATCTCAGTCAAAGTTGGTAAAAAGAATATTACTCATATTACATTAGATGTTACTTTATATACTTTATACTATTCAATATGTATCCAAAATATTATAATTGGATTTCAATTTTGACAGTTTTCAAATGATCACTTCATCTGGGTTTCTGAATTGATATTGAAGGTAATATATGAGTGCTTTTTTATTGTTAGTGAAATAAAAATGTTGATTCCAAAAGATGCATCAAACATGAATTCAATTTCAAATGAACATGTGATGAGCTTGAGTAATAAGATTATTAGCGGTTGTGTGCCGTGAAGTAGTCTCAAACACATAAGGTTGCTCAACAGCAAGGATGTTATATTTCTCATTCAATGAGCCTCATTATTGTGGTTTGCAGCTACGATACAAACAATAAAACAATTGCAATAGAACAAACAGTGTTTTGGGAGTATTGGGACAGGACATTAGCTGGACTATGCTACTGCGCATCGACCACGAGTTTCAATGCAAAAGTGGAGATGCTTGCCAAATTTCTATGACTATAAACTTATTGTCTTGCTTAGGATAATATACTGTGAAAAAAATTTGTTGCCTACGTCTCCAAACGAATTTGTCTGTATTATAGCTTTCTTGTTAGTATGCTGCTTGTATTTTTTTGTGATATTATATAACTAGATTTCATAAGCTTTGTCAATAATATTTGTTCATGGATAATGGATATTTGATTGCACTCACATTTTCACATCCTTGCTATCTTTGGAACTGCCCGACCCCACATTGACTGCTGCGGGGGCGCTTTTCCTGCCCCTCGTTCTGCCCCGGGTGCTGGGCGGGTTGCTCTGGCTCTCTGAACTCGGGCTGCTGGGCGGCGATTCCTTCATCTGCGCCTAAATGAGCAAATTTCCAACATTCGAATCTTCATTCCACTGTATAGTTTATGAAAATTCACCGGATACATATTTTTTATTCTTGTCGTGAAATCAAATTGAAGTTCAGAAGAAGTTATAGTTTAGGCTCCTCCACCATTTTCAAGACGTACTCCTTGGAAAAGCCACATACGCACAGCTAAAAATGCTCGTAAAAATGCGAACCGTTTAACGTTAGTACAGTCATGCAACCTGTTTGGTGACGCTGAGTTAGGAAAATATTTGACGCGATGAAGTTAAAATAATTCAACTTTTTGACGTTGCTGCTTCCGGTTGAGTTGAGGTTTATGTTTCAGAAACCTTGATATTCATTATCAATTGTTTATACACATGATTTTTCATGGAAATGAAGAAATTCTGAATGCAACTTCGTTAACCCTCATTCTTGAGAGTGTAATCAATCTCATGGTTAGTTGAATCATTGCAGTATCACTGAGATACCAACCAAATTCTCTCATTTTCACTGTACTATTTTCGTTTTTGTACTCATCTGACACAGCTGTGTAATCTCGTGGAGACTGCCAAGGAAGGAACAATTGTTGATATTTCAGAAGAGCATTGTCCATGAAAATATCTATAAAATAGAGCCAGATCGCCAACTTTTCTACGGTGTTCCAGAGAAGTGAGTGAGTTTGTGAGCGAGGCATCACCCACGAGACGAATTGCCGTTTTTGGGACAGAATCCAACAGTTTCAAGGTATGTTTGGGTGCTGTACTCCAAATATGGAAACACTATTGCAGGACAGGATGGATCTGTGCCTTATAGATCATAAGCAGCTGACTGGAAGTGAAATAGCTACTGACCCAAACCAAGTTTTTGGGATGCACTTTTAGCAATTGATCTCACGTGATTTTACCAAGAAAGGTTATTGCTGATAGTAATACCAAGCATCAAAATGCATGTCTTCAAAGGTATGGTTACTCCTGACAAGCTTATGTTGGGCACAGTGAGATCGGCTTTTCCAGAGAAAAGGATTGAAATAAACCGCGCGCTCTGCCCTTTTCTAATGGCCGAGTAGTGACCAAACCAAAAACACTTGGTTCCTATGCCGCACCCTGTACTATTATGATTATTGGGTTGAGGGAAACTACCCCATTATTCGAGGATTTGAAGAAAATCATAACATTTAAAAGCATGTCAGAAGGGGTCAGACGAGAATCTCGATAATCACCTGCGAGATGGCGGCAAAGGCGCCCGGCGGCTCGGACCCGGCCAGTGGCAGCGGCATCGGAGGCGGCGTCACGTGCTGGGAGCGGCTCGCGCGCTTCGTGTGCGTCTCGACGATCGAGCTGGGGGCGGGACAGGTGGCCGAGCTGCCGTTGCGCTTCCGGCTGCGGCTCGACCGGTCAGTCTTTTCGTTCGATTGCGATTGAGATCTGGAACGATAGAGATTATTTTTTACACATGTCAAAATGTGACGGTTCCGTTGTTTCAACCAACATCAATGCTTAATTCTTGCCAATCATTTGGTATCATACTGAATATTTCCCTCATATATCGGTAATTGCACTGCAGAGCGAATATTGCACTGCGAAGAGATCCCGTCGCTATAACAACACATTTATAAAGCCATGTCGCTAGACGCCAGTAAACAATACAAATAAATGTCAGATGGACTTCAAAAAATGATAAAAATGTGAGTGCTTCATACAATCTATCTAGGAAAGTATAAATCAAAGTGAACCAAAAAATACCAAATCCAACAGACAAAATTCCTTACTTCGTGAAATATTCCAAAGAATTATATTCGTGCATAAAAATGACGTACTACGACTTTGTTCCCTACAATGAGAAAAGTCTTCTAAATGAAAAAATGTTTCAATTGACTGATAAAACACAAAGTGAATAAAGATTCTCACCTTCCTCTTTTGGCAGGTACTTCAACGGTCCTAGAAGGAGATGGTTCTAGTTCCAGTTCCATGTCCACTTCTGTGTTAATGGAATCCATCTGTTTTTCGTAGGTAATTTTCAGTCCACCAGTGTTCATGTCGGACGTCAATAATCCTTGATTGCTGTTTCCACCAGTCATAACCTCTGAAAAATATATTTTGAGACACCTGAACTTTTCAATTCACAAGGTAGCAAACTCAATTTCATACTACATGATGGTAATAAAATAGTACCAGTATTTACAGAAGAAAATATATTCACTTGCTAAACTGAAGCAGATTGACCATTTATTTCATCGTACATATTTCCATAATATTTTATCTATCTACCGACAACACTCACGATAAGACATAACTGCGATGATGATTCACATGGGACAAACAATCAGGTGAACAGAATTCATATCTGACTGTTGATGGACTATTGTTATCATTTTTTCAACATATCTACCAATGTTATCATTGATGTTACCACATTTTCGGTGTTCGTGGAACAGGATATTCCTGGTTTTGCCTAATATAATTCTTATCCCAAAATCTCAAAGCACAGTACAAATACTTATATGAAACATAAAAAAGGTGCAATCCTTTGATATTTTTTGCCGGCGTTCCGAAGTCATCCGCAAGTGTTTGTAACCAGGGTCGGACTGAATTAGTTAACTCAGAAACAACAGAAAATAATGATGATTTCAGTAAACTGAATTAAATTATTTTAAATAGGTACATGTATGGTTTTTTTTCCTGCCTATACTTGTAAGCTACTGAAGTCGAAGAGAAGCAACTCAAAATGTGTACAGTATCATTTTTTTATAAGACAGGATATTATCTCGTTGTACAACAAGAACTGAGGGATGCCAAATATTTGTGATCTATTTTCCTGAAAACCGTTACGTACATTGTAAAATTTAGGAAGGAAAATCTCGAAAATTATGCTGCCAATTCAAACTCGTACAAATTTAATTCAAAATAAGAAAATTTCAATGGTACACTCCATCCTCGTCATCGCTAAAATAAGAGACTTCTTCATCATCATCTGCCAAATTGATAATAAATCGATTCTGACCGTTCAAATGCCCCCTCCCCCCCTTTATTCATTAAACGGGTCAACGAAAAACATTGAAGCTTGGGGTAATGATATTGATGCACCGACTGGGCACCATCTGGGGAAAAAATTAAATGGAAAGGGGGCCTTGTGATATATCTTCTGGAAGCTCCTGACGAATACTTCACAACCCTAGAATATAAAGTCTTCACCTACTACAAAATGGCGGAATATTTGATAAATGCTTGAATACATCGACGTTTACCACATAATTTGAGGAAACAAGCTGAGTTCAGTTCAGAAGATGCTCGAAATGGTTGCCTTGAACTTCTTGACAAAAGACCAGCCTATCCGATATTTCACGTTTCACAGTTACGTCAAAATTTCTACAAAAAATATTCATCATTCTCTGTTGCATATTCAATATTGAAGCAAATGCAGTTTCGTACACATTTTGTTGGAAATAGCCCCATAAAAAAGGTCTAACGGTGTCAAATCTGGCGAGCGGGCTGGTCATTCCATATGACCTCGACGGCCAATCAACAACCAGGGAAAGTATTATCCAAATGTTTCTTACTTGTCTGGAGTAATGTGGTGGTGCCCCATCTTGTTGGAATACAATATCCATATCATATATCCATCTTCAAATTTTTATCTGTCAATCTTACTCCGAAATATAGTATTTAAACATCAATTTCATTACCCCGAGATTCAATTTTTTTCGTTGACCCGTTCAAAAAATGAAGGGGGGGGGGCATTAAAGAAAATCACCGCATGTTTATCACATACATGATAAAGATCAAGAGATACACAATGGGGTATTTTTACAGTTCTCATAAACAAATATCAACAGATTCTCATATCGTTAAACTTTTGAGGGAAAGGTAGATTTAAGCTCAACTTTCTACTAATTATTTTCCCAGAGAAACTATTCACAGATATCATTCTAAGTAAAATAATAGGAAACGTTAAATTATTATACCAGGTGATTACAAAATCATTGGAAAGGGCTTCATTCAGTTGCTTTTTAGGTTAAGACGTTTGAAATTTGGATTGAAGCTATAGTTCCTTCAAACAATTGAAAATCACTTCCGGTTTTACCAAAAAATAGACCTAGGTCGAGAATTTCGAATAGAATCCAATAATGCGGAAACTTATCTTCTTGGTGACATATCACAAGTGGATATTTGTTTTAAGAATGGCGTCGCAGGAGAAATTTTTTCATCAATAGAAATCTCGTGATGCTCCTAATAAAATAGCAAATGAACAAAGCACTTTGATTAGAATTTGATGAAACATTCCGAAATTTTGATTTATCGCAAATCAGGATTCCTTTTAGTGATTCTCTCAAATGACATATCTCTTGAATTTTCTTCAAAATTTTAAATAGGATATTAGATTATCTTTCATCAACATTGATTTCAGTCCGTATCTACATAGCGAGTGTTTCTCAAAAGTGGCTCACCCCAATAACATTTTCTGTTCCACAAATAAACCAATGAAATTCGGTGTGTAAGTATATTTCAAGAAATTGGAACAATATTCGTATTCAATTGTTTTCTGTCTTCCGGTTTGGCCGGTTTCAATTTGTCAATTTTCTATCTATAGAGTGATTATGACACTAGATATTGATTCAAAATATCGATTATGTGGTATAAACGTGTTCGTTGTTGAAAAATACTCTTCTCAGATATGGTAATGAGCCACCCCTGTTCTATTTGAAAAAATTGAGTTAACATCATAATTAAGATAATGTGAATTTTGAATCAACCTGTGAAACAAATAGAAAGTAAAACTTCATCGAAACTATTTTTCCTTGGCAACTTGATACAAAATCAACTGTTCAACTCATTCATGACACTCTAGTTTGAACATTGAAAATGAAAATTTCAGGATGATAAATGTCAAAAAGTGGCAAACCGAGTGTCTCACAATGATATTCTCTATAAATCATGAAAATCATCCATTTTCTCAAAGTGGTCCACAGTATTTTCAAGAAGAAAAAAACTAGGGGCTCAAAGTCGGTCGACCACACTTCATATAATAGTAGTAAATCATTTTACATATGTAACCGGTTTCGGCGCTACGGCCATCATCAGACAAATAATAAGTACCTAAAAGTTTAAAAAACGAAGACAATCAAATGTGAGTGAAGACTATAAAATCAACATACCGAACAATACAATTTAGACAAACATCATTGGATAAGTAACAATCATGCCATGGGTTGAGACATGGGCAATAAGTTGATTGATTTAAATCTAATGAAGAGCCAGAAAAAACTGGCTCTGATAAGGTCAAACATCATCAGATATCGGAGAGAAAAAAACTACATCATATTAAAAAATGAAAATGAAAATGTCACCACGACCGGCGGCCATAACAATTCGATCAGTCCTATAAGGACTTATAGGACTGATCGAATTGTTATGGCCGCCGGTCGTGGTGACATTTTCATTTTCATTTTTTAATATGATGTAGTTTTTTTCTCTCCGATATCTGATGATGTTTGACCTTATCAGAGCCAGTTTTTTCTGGCTCTTCATTAGATTTAAATCAATCAACTTATTGCCCATGTCTCAACCCATGGCATGATTGTTACTTATCCAATGATGTTTGTCTAAATTGTATTGTTCGGTATGTTGATTTTATAGTCTTCACTCACATTTGATTGTCTTCGTTTTTTAAACTTTTAGGTACTTATTATTTGTCTGATGATGGCCGTAGCGCCGAAACCGGTTACATATGTAAAATGATTTACTACTATTATATGAAGTGTGGTCGACCGACTTTGAGCCCCTAGTTTTTTTCTTCTTGAGGATATTCTCTATCGAAATAAGTGAAAATAGACCAGGTGCCCCATTTAAAATAAGAAAATAAGAGTCGTTTCCGGCCAAACCAGAAGTGACAGAAAATAATCGAATAGGTCAAATAATGCACATTTATTTATTATACTCACACACCAAATTTCATTTGTTTATCTGTGGAAACAAAAAAGTTATAGGGGTGAGTCACTTTTGAGAAACACCCGGTATAAATGCTTGACACACTATGCCTATTGATTTTATTTTCAATTGAAAATCATTGAAGGTTGTCTATTTCATTACTCCTGCACGAATAACTATGTCTGCATTTTGAAAACCAAATGACAAATTTGGTAAAAAATAATCATGTTCGGACTTGTTACACTATTGATCTGAATTATATAATTGATAGTATAAAGCTCTGTGATCAAAAATCGTCATCATTATTCGATGAGTAAGTACAATTACTACAATCACTACAGGAACAATGATATAACATAGTATTATAAGTTTGTTTTGATCGTTGAAATTAACCATTTTGAGCTATGCAATGTAACAACTCTGAATCACTGAAAATATTTCACAGTTCAAAACTGTAATAAGTCTTCATTATTGTATCGAGTTATTACAGAATTATATGGAATAGAAGTTTCCTTCAGTTCTATAGAGTAACTAACACCATCTCTTGGTCAGTACTGGAACTTTCAGTTTTTACAGTATAGTACGTGAAAGTTAAAAAAATGATGAATCAGATAGCGTATACACAGTGGCGGCGCCAGGGGGTGGGCGCGGTTGGGCGAGATATAGAGAAAAGTAGTTTTTTTAGATTGCTTTCAATATTATATCTAACTAACCGTTCCAATGGTTAATGGTTCAATCAACGTGTTTCCGGAATCACGAATTACAATAAACGTCCAAGAAATGCACGCCTCTGAGACCGACGCGGCCTCTGTGGGGAATCCCCTATCTCAGCTTGTAAAAAACGTCTGGCCTTCGCTTACGAATTGACGAATTCAATAATATTCGAGGTGAATTTTGAGTAAATACATTGAAATGACTAGAAAACTTGAAACAAAACCAAGCACAAATCATTCATTAGAATTGAGTGAAGTAACTGAAACGGACGAAACGGTTGGTGATGCTGTTGCAGCAAATGCTGCAAGTGATTGTGAAAATGACAATATTGGAGAAGCCAGCTGCAGTTATCCCAAAAAAAGAAAGACACCGACACCGAACCAGTTCCTGGAAGATGAGGTAGATGACACATGGCTGATTGTATCCACTTTAAGCGATAATGAAAATTACAATATTTTTTAAGTGGATTCGGATACGTAAGTTGGTTATTGTAATAGTAATAAATAAAAGGTTGAAACCCTATTATTCTTCCTTAGAGTGCACAACAGCGATGCTGATGATAATCCGGTGGCCCTGACTGATTTGGATTTGCAATTAAACATAATAATAGAAGAATAGCGCTTTCCTAATAGACCTAAACGTTAGACTGTGTCTGTTATGGGTGATAGTTATATAATCATGCGTTTCCGTGTCATATAAATTTTTAAATAATCTCTGTGTTGTATTTTTTCGTTATTCCAACCGTTCCAGTTTGTATTTTACATTTATTCACAAATCCGCAAAATATCTATAATTAGTGGATACCTACATTATACAATTTATACCTATTATCTGAAACATTACCTAAATATCTAAAACATATTTTTGCTGCCCACAATTCAAATTTTTCTGCCGGGTGTCGCCCAACTGGGAAGAAAAAGCTGGCGCCGCCACTGCGGTATACAACTCAAAATGGTTATTTTTCGTACACTATTGAACCATGTTATCGATATGATTGTATCATTTTGGAAGTATGAAAAAATCCGTACGAATCCAAATCGTACATCCGTTGGGTGACGGATGCATGGAAATGCCCCTTTTATTCTTACCACTACTGATAGCAGAGGCACCCTTCTCAGAGCACCCAACGCTCCCACTCCTCTCGCTCGCCGAAGGCGTCGCTGTCACCACCGACGTCTGATTGCACACGATCGGCCCCAGGGGACTCAAGGAGGCGTTGACCAGCGGCACGGAAACGACCAGCGAATGCGCCTGCGCCTGTAACTGTGACTGCGAGTGGGACTGCGCCTGCGTCGTCTGGATGATTGTAGGGGGAAGGGGTAGGGGCGGGGCCGGGGGGATGGACACTGGCTCGGGAGGCGTGGCCGTTGGATCGGCGGGCGCGGAAGGGAGGGGCGCGGAGGAGGGCTTGGGGGCGGAGATCGAGGTGAGCGCGACGACCGGTTGGTTGGTGATGATCGATTGGGTGGTTTCGATTTTCGCCTGGAAATTGTTGGGGAATGTTGTGTTACTTTCTGAAGGCATTAATGAGCTATTTATTGGATTATGTTGCTAAAGATCTACTGAAAAATACAGGGAAATGATTTATTTTGTGTCAAGACTTGTGATCAAATCAAATCTTCAATGCATGGGCTTTCAGAGATATTTGTGAAATCAAAATAATCAGCTACTCAAAGAAAACATGAAATTGAATTATTTTAATACCTTAAAAAAAGGGTTTGTCTCATATCAAGGCAGGAAATGAACACCTTGCCTTCCTTGAAGAATAAATAACTTGAAAGGGATTATCTGGATTGCAAAAATAAATATATTGAGGACAAGAAAGTATGCTAGAGCCAATGTATTTTACTTTCCAGGGGATGTAATTTTTTGCTCTTCTTATAGGAGTAAAATTTTTTTTTTTTTTTTACCTGAGATGTGACAAATGCCTACTTACAATTCCGAGAGTAGATACAATTTATTAATTTATCTACTCACTGAATTGAAAGTAGGCGTTTGCTCCCTCATTCAAGGACACAAAGCTGTCAATTTATTCCCACAGGAATATTATAAAACAAATAACAATTTCCTTTGTAAATTACAAGCATATGATCTCATTTACTACCTCATATTCCAAACTTTATTATGACAGAAGGGCAGAAGTGTCAAATTGATTTTCGTTCAATTGTCTATGGCACACTACACCTTTGTAATGCATATTGATTTGGATCAAGAAATAGACCACCTGGTGCATAAATTCAAGGATGATGCTTGTGGATAGAATCATATATATATATATATATATATACATCATGGGAGCAAAGGTTCAATTACCTTCCATGTGTGTTTAATGCCCTCCACTAAACTTTACTTGCGGTAGGAAATGGATACATTTGCTCCCTTGATATATAAGTAGGTTATTTAGATGAAGTAGTTCAAGTCTTTTGAAATATGTTTTTTTCATTTATTGAAGCACCAAGAGAATGAGATATTCTATTTAGGTACATCCTACAGTTGAGTATATTGAGAAAAGTTACACATCAAGATGAAGGATATTCAAAAAGACATATAGCAAACATATGATATTATTACTGAAGACATAGGTTATACTAACTTTTGTTATCATGTTATTAACCTGTGATATCTTCAACTCCTGAAAACATTTTAGAACAAATCATTGTTTCCACTTTTTTGAAATAATTTGTTATTATCTAACTGATGAACATTTTAGACAATTGGAAAAATTTTAATCAAAATTGTTTCCAATATACTTAGGGGTATATTTGTTTTTTTTTTTTCCATTAGTGAAATATGTTCAATTAGCTGAAAGAAGGACCTAGGTCATTGGCCTAATGGTTTCAACAATAAACCATGGCCAAAATTGCAGGGACATTTTATTCAGTATAATAATTCAGGGTTGTAATAACAACACCTTCCTAATATCAATTTCTTGATGGAAATCCATAGTAAATATAAAAAACTTCACTAATGACAAGATTTACACAAAACTCATAATCACATGTCATGTTTTGTTAACACAGTAGCTTCTTCAGGTGGAATACTAGTACAATAAACAGTTTAGTTTAGAGAATTTTGTGGAAATCTTGTCTTTTGTGAAATGAAATTTTAATGAAAAAATCGATTTCTTTGATTATTGTTCTATTCTCATAGGTAGGTCTGTACCAGATAACTAAACTGGTAAAAAAATTACGGATATTTTCAAAAGCAAACAACATGAGTAATAATAATTATGTCACATTTTCTCTAGAAAAATGTCTTCATAGCAAAGTCAATACCCTCAATTTTTTTTATAATAAGGGAATATTGTGTAATATGCAATTTTTAGAATTCAATATTCTGTGTCAAGCCATCAATTATTTTTTTTTTTTTCATTTTTGTCATCACCTTTTTCTTGTCAACAGCACTCTCACTACCTGCAACACCACCCTTATCCCCAACACTATTCAAGTTACTATTACCACCGCCGGCAACCAATCCGGCACTAGTCACAGGGTTCACTACCACACTAACTTCACTCCCTGCAACCCCCACTGGCGTGGGTGCCCTCGAGTTCGCTTTGCGCTTCTTGGCCCCCTTAGTGTCTCTAGATTCCTTCGGCTCGGAATCCCCGTTTTTCTCTAATTCTTCGGTCTTCCCGCTTTTCGCGTTCGTCGCCTTGCCCTTTTCGGCGTTCTTCGCGTTGTTGTTGACGGGTTTCGATTGCGACTTGTTCGACGACTTCGACGGTACGGTTTTCGCGTTAGCGGTCGTTTTTTTCTTGCTAGCGGCTGTCGGGGGTGAAGGGTTCGCCGCCTTCGAAGGGGTCCCCTCTTTCTCCGAGCTGGAGTCCGAGTTGTGGGCCTCGTTGGCCACCGGTTTGTACGGAGGGATCGTCTTCACGTTGCCCCCTTTTTTCTGAAAAAGGACAACGGCGTTTATCCGGTGCTTAAAAATTTCCATGGTTATTAGATAAAGGAATGATTCACACAAATCGGCATGCACAACAAGATACATTGAAGCCTACAGGGTGATCAAGGTAGGCCGTTAGTTTTTTGACTGGTACTCCAAATGAAAACTTGAAATCGTGCACGTTCTGGATGTACTTTCAGTGTACCACTGGTATACAGATAGTATCAGAGGTCAGGACCAACTTCCTTATTTCAGATAGTCTGTTGCATTGTCACATTAGTTGAGACAACTTATATCATGTTAGAAACACTCCAGAGAGAGAAACTCAAAGTCATTACCACAATAGTTCATAAAATGAACGAGAATGGTAGAAATCGAGAGAAAAACAACTACTTTCCTGGCTATATGCCACGCAGAACATTGGATTGTCCTCCCGAAATCTCTGCAATAATTCGTATAGACGAATAAAATCGCAAGTATTTCCTTCCTAAACGCCGAGCTGCGCCTAAGTGGTTCAGGAACGCGTGACTACCTGCAAACCAGAAAGATAGATAGATAGATAGATAGATAGATAGATAGATAGATAGATAGATAGATAGATAGATAGATAGCATTCTTGACCGCTATCTGGTGCGAGCCTGACCCAACGTAAACGCAACTCAGCTTTCATACCCCACGAGGCGTTCAACGTCCGCGAAATGAACGCAAACGCCGAACGCAACCTGGCAAGGAAAGCAACACTCCAAAAGAAGATGTCAGGTGAAATGGAAGTGGCTGGTTGCCCGACTGGCGTATTTTCGAGGAAAAATCCAAATACTCAAAGTCCAATGGTCACAAAAAGAGAGAAACTCAAAGTCATTGCCACAATAGTTCATAAATTGAACGAAAATGGTAGATAACCAAAAAAAAAGAACTACTTTCCTGGCTATATGCCACCAGCCACTCCCATTTCACCTGATCTTGTTTTGGAGTGTTTCTTTCTTTGCCAGGTGGCGTTCGGCGTTCGCATTCATTTCGCGGACGTTGATCGCCTCGTGGGGTATAAATGTTGAGATGCGTTTACTTTGGGTCAGGTTCGCACCAGATAGCGGTCAAGAATGCTATCTAGGGCAGCCCTGCACTGATGAGAGCCAACAGCTCGGAACCGGTCTGCAGGTAGTCACGCGTTCCTGAACCATTTAGGCGCTGCTCGGCGTTTAGGAAACACTTTTTTATTCTATACGAATTACTGCATAGATTTCGAGAGGATGCATATAGCCAGGAAAGTAGTTGTTTTTCTCTCCTTATCTACCACTTTCGTTCATTTTATGAATTATTGTGGTAATGACTTTGAGTTTCTCTCTCTTTGTGACCATTGCATTCCACTTTGAGTATTTGGCTTTTTCCTAGTTGACTCCAGAGATACCACCAAGTTACATTAATTACTAGTATTATAGTATATTATCATAATTATTATTATTATTATATATGTTGTGTGACTCAGTACCATCACCCCGTATTATGTTCAGAATATCGACGGGTGCTGTTTTATGACTAAGATATATTGAATGCATGATTAAGAAGTTACATAAGTTAGATAAGAAATATGACAGGGAATAGTTAGGATGACCAGAATAGTTTAGACTAAAGAGCTGTAAGGGTGTTGTCCATAACAATCATGTCAACTCAGCTGGTAACTGGGATAATATTCGACATATTTCAAAAACTCTGCCAGTGTCGATACGGACCTGATTTTTATTTTCTACGAACGTCAAAAAATGACATAGTTCGCACATTGATAACAATTTCCGAAGTGACAGTTTTTTTCAGTTACCTACATTATCACGATACCATGTGCGAAGCAGTGCGCGAAGTATGACGATGTTCGAAGTACGTACTTCTTCTTGACCTAATAGGAGGAAGCCAGGATATATAAGTCATTATTTTGTGACTTTTTGGAGCAAACAGCTTGTCAAAATATTTCTTATACTCCATAACAAATCATTATGTAAATATTGGCTATAGAAACTTGGCAAGGCCGTGCTGAATGCTGAGAACTGACAAGACAACACCCACAGTCCTGTGTTGTCACGTTTACCGGACCGAATGTCTTCTAGTGTGAATTAATATAATGATTATTAACACAAATTCATCATAAGCAATATCATATAAGAGGGACAATTTTGACACAATAGATTTTTTGTCGCTAATTAAGATTATTACTAATACATAATTGGTCTGCCCCCACTTACGAAATAGTGACGTCAGTTTTTATTGACGGTAAATTTCTAGCCGTTTGAAAATTACCGTGACAATTTTGATGACTTTAGCACCTCAAAATCGACCGAAAAAATCTAAAAAAAACATGGAATTGAAAGGTAAAATAGTCCACTAGTCCATTGATAAGCAAAAGCAGAGTATATTATCTATCCTAAACGGGACAGTAAGTTCATTTAGCATCGGCACCTATCTTCGTGGCAGACGTATCATTTTTTTCATCAGTGCTCATAGACTGCGCGTCGACCGAACTTGTTCTATATCCGAATGTCATCTGAAGCGTAATATACGAGGCGCAATCTTAGTCTTCCAATATAATATGAGGACGTATTTTCTGAAAGTATTCAAATATACCAAATATTACATTGAGTGGACATGCATAGGCATAGGTTGTCCGATCACAACACAAGTTGAAATGATATTTTCATCACATGGAGAATGCGAATTCTCAATGTATTTCTTTATATATATATATATATCCATTTTTTTGTCTTCATAAATATATCTGAGAATGTTCCTTTTTGATATGAAGTTGGTACTGACCATATCGGAAAATATTTTAGAACGAACATGCATAACATGCATGGTCTATTTATATTACAACTATGAACCACATTTTAAAATATTATTCCAACTAGAAGTTGATGAAAATCTTCTAATGAACTGACCTCATAAATCACCCTGCATACTTACAGATAATCATCATGGTTGTAGTTATCAAATAATTGGCTATTTCAACAACATTTAGGTGAAGAAATTCAAACTTCTCTGCTACAAGAAGGCGGGTATTAGATGATTTTATTTATATTATGGATCCAATCTGGATATTTGGATTTATCTGCGATGTTTATAAACAAATATAAGCAAATAAACATAAAGTGAACTTGTAGTAATGAAACGGCATTTCAGAAAAAAATATAAAAAACAGTTTTTGCTCCTCCATCAAATAGTTATTTCTCCTCCACCATCATTGATCACATTCAAAGTATGAAAGGCGTTTGAATTATAGTACATACATTTTTTGTAATGTTGTATAAATTTTTCATGTAGTAGTTGTAGATGAAGAAGATGAAAATAAACTATAACTACCATAAAATCCACCCGTAACATCATATTTTAGCAGCCACATCAGTATTCTACAAGCAGTATTTGCAGTATACTGATTTTTAAGATGAGCATTTAGTTCAGATAACTTCACAAAGTACACACAGATAAAGTTTTGAAGATAACTACTTGATAAATTCAATTTATAGTGTTTTGTTACACATTTTCATTTCATAGTTTCCTCATTTTGATTATTCATTGAGATTATTATTTTGTATCAGAACAACTGAAAACAAGATTATGAATTTATTTCAATTTTGAATGAATTCAATATGAACATGACTGACAAATACATGATGATACAATACAAGCTTCTGAGCATTTTTTGACAGATGCTGTTAAGTTAATTATTGTAGATAGCAAACAACTTGCAGATGAGTGGGACAGAAAAGTATCCTTTGTCAGACTCATTGAAAGATGGAAGAGTTTTTCAGCAATATCTTTACAGTTGATTGACATGATCCCATCAAACCCAAAGTCCGAAGTGGGGATCTTAAAAAATACATGAACATTATCAAAATTGCAATAGCTTGAAATTCAACTGCTGAAAGTCATCATTCACCAGTGGCATGCCCAATTTAACAGACTTTGAAGAATCTGAAGAATCTATTGTTGTCAAAGTATAATTGTAAATATCATTCCATGATTTGATCAAAGCCTGATTCACTAATGAATTTATTGGTTAGTGAATATGTTTTAAACATAAAGTAGATTATCCTCAGTATTTTTCTAAATAATTTCGACTCACCAACTTGCTGTAATGATGCTGGCAGTACCCGCAGTACTTGACGTTATCCAAATAGTTTCCCGCCTCTTCACAGAGAAGCCCTAAACCTTGAGCGCAGGTCACGTGAAACTGTTGTCTGCAACCAGCTTTGTTGCACTGCATACAAGCCCCAACTGAGGCGTTGGCTGGTTTTCCTTTCTCCTCACAAATGTAACAAACCTGAGAATCATAGGTAACAGCGTTTAGGTACTGATTCTCCAACAGTCTGTTGAAATATCTTCAAGATCCATCTGAAGCCTCAAAAAAACCTGATTTGCTGTTTGGGTAAGTTTGAAGAAGATCGATCCACTCTGTTCAATTTACAATTACATTCATGCATGATTGAAATTCATTTGATTCCATCCCACACCCCTGATCAAAATTTCTGAAGGTTCTTAAAATTTCCAAATCGGACATGAAAATTAATTTTCATGTACAAAATTTAGTTACCTCAACGCAAAGAGTTTCGGAAATATTTATAAAAAAAATCATCATTTCAGATGGGGGCCATTTATGGGCTCATGTTTATATGAACATTTTTTACTATTTCTGTTCCTAGGATCTGTGGTTGAAATCTTCCTATGTTATTTCAGGACACCCTGTATAAGAGTTTTTTCACAAACACTGAAATATGAACGTCTTTTATTGTATCAAATTTTTATTTCCATTCAAGGTGCATTGCCCTTCACCGTGTATATTCAGCATTGTTCAGCATTACTAATATTGTGATATTGAAAATAAACGTTTTATCAAAATTCCTGTTGAAATTGTGAATAAATACACGACTGAGAATTTGAAACATTGACCGCCATAGCTGAAATCGTTTTGATTGGCCAAAAAATGTGTCCATGCCGAAAGTCATGGTTTTTGAATTGTTCTAAGCAAATGACAGTGACAGCTCACATATGGTTTCTGTGTGACATTTTCAAAATCCATAATAGTCAGTGATAATCACATTATTCCAAACATTTTTTATAACTTCAAGAATTGCTTTCAGCTGTAATAAATTTCGTGGTTTCAACTATATTTGAAGAATGTTTCATATTTCATTGGTTGCATACGCATCAGTATATTTTTATATTGCATATCATTGACACTATTGACAGTTTTATTTACCTAAGTAGAATTTCTTTATAAATTTATGATTATTAAGCTAGGTTAAGAAAATGTTACTGCTCATTAGAGGAAATCCTCGAATAATGGTGATTACTCAGGTTAGTGGTGGAAAATTAGTATATTATTCAACAGGCATATAATGAGGGCTATTATTCACGAAGGTTAAGTTTATGTCACGAGCGTGGCGGGAATAACCATAATTCACTGGTCTAGAGTTACCACTTTAGGGTACACGATGTAACATATAAGGAACTCTAGACCAGTGAATTATGGTTATTCTCTGCTATTATTCACTGGTGAGAAAAATGGCTACAGTTTAGCTTGAGGAAGTACATGTATTATGAATATTTTATAAAACAGTCGTGGATAAACTATATTTTTTGCCACAATCATTCCATGAGGCCATAGATGATAAAAAGGAATACCTATCAGACCTTTTTGACAACTCGGTATACATTACTCTGTATTAGAAACACCGTAAATCAATGTGGACATGGTATACAAATAGGTACTCAAACATAAGGGTCTGATGTCACACTGAATTTCACGCATAATCGATGAGAATTGAGATAAAACTGTTTACTTCCCTCCAAAACTACAAGACTTGTGTGGCAACACCGCTATGACTAAGCTGCCGGCCTCGTTGGACAAATCTACGTTGCGTGCAATCCACACATACTTTTGCACTTGTTGCATAAATAACTATTATTAATATGTTGCTATGAATACATTTTGTTTTATTTCGATTTTAACATTTCGAATATACTAATGAAATTATCGGAACAAATATATACCAAAAAATATTGTTCACAAAATAAACTTCTATTGAAATTACCCTGAAACATTAATAAAGGCTCACAAATTTTATAATAATACTGTCAATCTTGTTGCTTATTGGGTTATTCGTTATTACTATTGAGAATGATCATGAAAATGCTTCATTTGGATTCGGGTAATGCTAGTTTTAAAAAATGCCTCATCTTCCAATTTCTTCATTTTTGGGATCTACATCACACTAGGCCATGAAATAAATTCATGAATCACCTGACCAGTCTCTTGAAGTACTAAGAAAAACGTGTTTTATGAATCACCTTTTTTACTCCAAAATACGAGGATAATTAAATAAATCAGGACACAATCTATACAATGCTTTTCATAAAGTTGACATCATATGGGAGAACCTTTAAAAAATAATTTATTCCGAAATTCGACTTGGGCGTTAAGATGAAAAATTGCCTATTCGGTCGGGGTCACGTTACTTTCTTTATATGTCAAAAGTCCTGTGTTGTCATGTTTACCGGACCAAAAGTCCTATAGGGTGAATTAATATGATTATTATTAACACAAATTCAACAAAAGCAATAAGACACAACATACAGAGATTGCACAAAAAACGGCCAGGATTGTAACTTTTGGATTATTCTAAATAGGGTTTTGAAAATTGGTGGGTTGCCATTATACCAAATTGCTCATTAATTGATGAAACAATGTTTCTTCTAACACTTCCAGTTTCACCGGAAACGACCCCAACTTTTGATTTTTAAATGGGATACCCTCTGTGTATTCCATAATCGGTTAGGGATTATCATGACGAATTCAACGATACCGGGTTTGATAGGGTTATTTCAAACGATTACATAGATATTTGCGTTCGAAGTTTCCATATGCTCAATGGGTGTGACTTGGCAATATCAAAACTTCTTTCTCTGTCACACTCATTGAGCATATGGAAACTTAGAACGCGAATATCTGCGTAATCGTTTGAAATAACCCTATCAAACCCGGTATCGATGAATTCGTTGTGACAATCCCTAACCGATTATGGAATACAATACAGGGTGTCCCATTTAAAAATCAAAAGTTGGGGTCGTTTCCAGTAAAACCGGAAGTGATAGAACAAAAATTCATTTTTCAATTATAATGAGCAATTTGGTATACTAGCTGCCTAACAATTTTCAAAACCATATCTCGAATAATTCGAAAGTTACAGCCCTGGCCGTTATTTGTGCACTTTTCTGTATAAGAGGGACAATTTTGAGACAATAGATTTTTCATAGAGTCCGACCACGTTATCTTTGGGACAGCATGTGACGCAACGCATATGCATATTCAATGCATACGCGACCACGTGCTGTCCCAAAGTTATCGTGGTCGGACTCTAGCTAATTAGAATTTATGATTTATTGAATAGATAATATTTCTGAATTTCCTATCAGTGTTTCAACATATGGCAACTGTGCTATGGTCTGCCCCTACTCACGAAATCGTGACGTTAGTTTTTATTTGCGCTAAATTTTTAGCTGCTTGAAAATTACAGTGATTATTTCATTCACACTCGACTGGACCTATGAAATGTCATGATTGAAGTCATATGATATGCGATATCAGCGGCTATTTAGGTAAACAAACAATATGAGCGGCTATTCTGTTCGCCAGCATAAGAGTGCTATGGTTGTCAAACTTTGACATACCTATCACACTCAAAAATCGAAATATCTCGTTCGTTTTGGGTCAACTTCCACTACGGAAATTCGTAATTATGTAAGCGAATCGATATCAGAAAATGACAAGGAAATTAAAGAGTCTGTCTGGAACAATTCATGTTTCTTTGCCAGCAGAAAAACTACGAATTTTGTGCGACTACCCCATCTCTCGTGATTGCCCAAATCCTAAAAGATTGGGTGAGGAGAATGGTGAGGAATATTAGGAATACACAGTTGAAATTTATATGGAAAACTATATACAGGAAGGTTATTTCAATGAACATAAACGTAAGACAAATCCATTTGAATATATCGAATTCAAAGGTGCCAGGGTTACACCTAATGCAAACAGGCAGAGCCTACAATATTTTCCTCAAACAAGAAAGGAAAGTACAGAAGTTCTAATCAAAGAATATTAACGCTGTTAATATTCTTTCTTTGCTCTAACTTTAGATGAATTGATTACAATTGTACGTAGATATGACGAGAATACCCTCAGACGGCCTTCAGAAGAATTTTTATTCAAATAGTATCTGCAGAATTATAACTTGAATAAAATGTCGAAACTCATATAAACCAGTATTTTCACACTGTTCATGAAATAATCTTCCTGAATATCACTCGACCATGACGAATGGAGACTATTATTTTCTTCAATTCATCTCGAGTAACTTGTATTTTGGGACAATTCAATTCGACCATATGAACATAAATAATCATAGAATAACTCCCTGGAGCTAAAGCTCTCGGGAGTTATTCAGATTATTAATGGTCGTATGGTCGAATTGAATTGTCAAAATACAAGGTACTCTCGATAGAATTATGAAGAAAATAATAGTCGGCTATTTGTTATGGTCTCGGGATATTACCCACGACAATACTCATGATTTTTGCGCTTTGAAATCGACCGAAAAAATCAGAAAATATATCAAATTGAAAAATAATTGAGTTATGATTATATTTAAAAAATATGAAAAATAATCCACTCGCCTATTCAAGTACCAACCTTACTAAACCTTTCCGCGGGAATCAGTTGCAACTGAATGGGCTCCATGGTGGTGACATTGCCGAACCGAACTTCCGGTATATAAAGTGCACAAACCACGTGGGCCCAGCCCTGATTGTCCGTACGTTTGAGGGCTCCATATTTGCTGGGACACAGCTCGCATTTCTGGAAATTTCGGTGTTTAGAGGGCTTGCTAGATGGTGTCACAACTGAGACCACAACCATGGTTCCCCAAGAGAGTATGGACGTATAATGAGAATGGAATAGGAAAGGTGTGGTATTTGGAACAGGTAAAAAGTTATATTTTTTATGAGTGAATAAAAGTCATTGTGAAGGCATATAATAAAATAATAAAATTAGTGAAAGTCTTGGTGGAATCAGAAGTTTTTACTTCGTCCTATAGATCTTAAAAAGAGTACAGTTTTCACATAATTGTATGCTCTTTCAGCACACTCAATGCAAGACTCAGAGTTCGACTTTTTTTCGAAGAAATTGATCGATATCCAAATTAGCAATTGGATGAAAAATAATATTTTTTACAAACGGCATAGAAAGTGGCATTTCTATCAGCAGGCAGCAAAGGTGTACTTTCTCTGCCTAGGCAGAAAAAGTTTGTTGCTATGCAAGTAAGTTGAATGAAATTGGTAATCAAAATTGACATTGGCTGAACACAAATTGGTTTTCAATAAAAAAATTACACAAAATATGTTTTTATAACATTTGGGTAAAAAATTATATGTTTCACATGGCAGCAAAGTAAAACAAATAACTATTTTTTGTAGTGTTATGCATATACTGACATTTTTTTGTAAGAAACCGTCAATACAATATCATTAGTAAAACCTGCTTTTATGTTACTTGAACACCAAGTTCATGGAAAAACTTCCTTTGGCAAATAATTTCAAAGCTTTACCGTTCTATAGACAAACAAGTTCTGGTAAAGAGTTGTTGAAACATTTTTTCACTAATATCAATGATTCTCTTCTTATCTAGTACTCAGTATGAGGCTCACACTATCCTCCGTTCATACGTACAATCGTCGCACATGGACGGTGTCAGCTCTCTTAACCCATTAGTGCATGAAGTTACTTTTTTTCAAATCTCTATATTCTGAAGATGTTTACTCATTCAAATATACCCAAAGAATGATAACTCATGACGAATAATTTTTTTTTACAACATATTTTTTTTATATGACACGTCCATTTTAATGGACTCTATGCAAATTGGTTCATTGATGAAAGTGATCAGTAGGGAATTCCAGTATTCATTTTTATTCAAGTACATATCCAGAACATGAAAAACTCAATAACATCAATCACAATATTATCAATAATAATAATAATGATAATAATAATGAAAATTATACATCATGATGACTTGATACATTTTGAAGCATCTCTCAGATGCAGTCCTATTTTACATATAAAATTGCAATTTTGTATACTCTACTGAATGGAATAATTCAGCTGATGGGTATATGGAAATGCACCATATCAAGAAATTATTTACGATGATACTTCCAGACCTTCTTTCGGTGCTCCTCACACGATCCAGTGGAAGGAAATGTGAACCCGTTGAAGAAAAAGAGGAGTCGAACGAGTGGATGGAGTCGTGTCTATAGTTGACGTGCTGCATTAAAACGTACAATCATTTGATGCCATAATATTCCTTTTCATAATGCAAAGATGTATATTATTTTCAATTTCATCAAAATCAGGATCAGAATAACGAAAGTCGCACGGCTGTTTGATAATTCCTTTAGAAATATGATTTATTATGAATTCGCAGTTTCTAAATTCGAATAACTGCATTTCTGCCAACTTTTCTTCTGGAGGCAATATAATATATGATCATCTGTTGGTTGATCGATATCTGAGCCATTTTCCATATGTCTAACAGGTGTTGCAAGAATGATCTACAAAAAAATCTTGATGACCGATATGCATAGAGTCCATTATAATGGACACAACACAAAAGCAATATTTTGAGTCTTACAAAAAAATAATTATTCGAATTACCTTATAGGTTCATAAACACATGCATATAATGAGATCTTGAGGGATAGGAAATTCTGAAATTCATTATACTCCGTTATAATAAATACTTACCCTCCTTGTCGGGTGCAATACAAATTGTTATCCATTTGATCACGTGCAGAATATTGTCGAGATACAAATTCATGAAATAGAAGCGATAGCTGTTTGTTGTTGAACTACACTTATAGTTCTGGCGCATGAAACATTCAATTCCTGCATGATTGACTTCACAAAAAATTAGACAAGGAGCGTCCATTATAAGACACATTATGCACTAATGGGTTAATCACCGCTGCAATACGAGCGATCTCTGAAGACGAGTGTACATTGTAGTTACTGAAATATTAACAGAGAATTGCAATTTGGTGGGTAGCAACTTAGCAAGTATACCAAATTGCCTCTTATCGACATAAAATATTCATTTTATCACTTCCAGTTCAACCGAAAGCAAAAGCAACCACAAATTTTAATTTTTGAATAGGACACCCAAAATATTTCGACATTTTGATCAAAAAAAGTTTCTGATGTGTAAAACGATCCGCTGAATCCGAACATAAAAAAATATACAGGGTGCCCTATTTAAAAATCAAAAGTTGATGTTGTTTCCAGTAGAATCGGAAGTGATAGAATATACAGTATTTTGTCATTAAATGAACAATTTGGTATACTTGCTACCCACCACATTGCACAATCCGATTTCTAATGATTCAGCACTAGCAGTTTGTTGTGCACTTCTCAGTATAAAAAAAAATATCTTTGAAGGGCGCCACTGGAAATCAGTTGCTCTTTGGCATTAGAAACCAATAGAATTTTTATTTTCGTATCCTTGTATTTTGAAAGTACCACACGTTTATTTATGTTTGCTGTAGTTAAAATCAATGCAAGTACGAATGTCGGGCCGCGCTGCCGCACTCTTTGAACTTTCAAAGAGACCCACGGCTTGCGGTGATCTGTTTTTCCAACTGACTGCATAAACTATGCCAATACTTATAATCGATACTAAAGAAGCTAGCAAAGCCACTTGGGAATTTCAACATAAGACACATCACATAATATTAGGCTCATTTTAGGCTAATTAATTACCCCATTCCCAAATTTTTTACTCCTCTCTATCATGAAGAATCTGTGGTTTTGCTAGCTTTGGCCGAACTCAGCAAAACCATTTTTGAAAAACAATAATTTTTGATAATTTGATAAAGTGGAAATGTAGTGCTTATTTGAGGCTAATTTATAACCCTATTCCCATATATTTTGCTACTCTCTATCATAGAAAAATCTGTGGCTTTGCTAGCTTCGGGTGAAGTCAGCAGAGCCATTTTTGAAATCATTGATTTCACACCGATTTGATAAATTGAGATTAAATGGCCAATTTAAGGCTAATTAATGACCCAATTTTAAAAATTTTTGTTCGACGTTTTTAGAAAATAAAAACGAAACAATTTGTCGAAATACGCGTTATTCACTAGGCATTATGCATTTCTATCAGAAGCATTTCTATGACGATAGTATTGATTGTAGCAATGACTATCCCATTTTGGAATTTATTGCTGCATATTTTTCAAAAGAAAACTGTGGCTTGCTAGCTTCGGGTGAACTCAGCAGAGCCATTTTTGAAAAGATCATATACTTTTTTCCGATTCAATACATTGAGATATTGAAACGCATTGAAAAAAAAAACGAATTGATTCGCGATATTTACCATGTATTACTCGTAAAAGCAGATTTTTTGACGATTTTATGAGGCAAAGCAATAGTATTGATTACAGGCTCAAATACTATCCCATTTAGGATCTTTTTGCGGCATATTGTTTAAAACTCAGTTGAGCCGTTTTTGCTAAACGTTAAAAAAAAACAATTTGTCGAAATACGCGTTATTCATCAAGGCATTATGCATTTCTATCGTAAACATATTTTATGACATTATGAGGTAGAGGGATAGTATTGATAGTAGGCTCAATAACTATCCCATTTTGGAAATTATGAGATATGGCTCATGTTGAAATTCGTGAGTGGCTTTGCTAGCTTCTTTAGTATCTATAATTGAGACATGGTAAATGGACCAAGCATCTAAAAATTAACAGTTTGAAAAATTAGTTGCCTGATTTCACAGCTTTCTGTGCCATTTTTGTATTTGATGTTTATCAAACCTTCTAGGGTATGATATATACTTATAACCTATAACCTACAAAATGTATGAATGGTCAAAAACAAGGTAGTTACTTTCATAAATATTTATTTTGAGGAATAATCTTCTGAGAACTTTGGTACTATCGAAGTATGTCCAAGAACAAGATTTGTTCAAGGTTCGAAGTTTTTCAAGGTTCTACCTATGCCTGGAACAAAACTTTGAACACTTTCCTTAGGTCATGAGTTCATAAATGATATTTTCAATGAGCACTTACCACTTTAACTGATCTCTCTTGACTTTCACATTTACGACAATACCATGGACCAGTAGGAACAGTTACAATACCATAACAAGCTGCAAAAAATAGTGATATTGCAACACATCGATTCAAAAACTGGATAAATAAACATTCTATAGAACTTCAACACACTACATCACTGCAACTGCACATATCATTAATTCAAACAATACATTAATAAAGCTAAACATCTATGTCTTGTTACCTAAAATGAAAAAACTAGTAGCTTTAGTTTAGTTAAAACACATCTGTTGTTCAGTATTACCCAACAAAACAATGAGACTATAATGTATACTATTTGCATTTCAATTAGATCTGACTGTTTTCTTGGAAAAACTACTAAAAATCACCAAGTAATTGCTTTTAAACAGACCATTTCTTAAATTCTCATTTATTTATACTTTATTTATACCATTATACCTACACTCAAGAGCAGAGCCATTGCCAAGAGGGTTTGAGTGCCATCCCTTGTATAATAATGTTTACCCTCTTTGTACGGCTACCTGAGATAATACCAGGCTAGGCGAGTACCCAATTTTGAATTTGATTTTTAAAGATCAAAGGGTGGGAAGGGTTAACCGCGATCAAACTTTAAGAACATATGCCTATGAAACTTAATGCCAGTGGCGGCTCCTCAGAGGAGGCAACGGAGGCTGAGCCTCCTCAGAGATTTTCGTTAAACTAATATTATCAATACTTTCTCATTAAAAGGACACCAAAATACATGGATTTTGATTTTACTTCCTGTTTTTAGTTAAATATTTTTGAATTGGCAACAGTGCTTTTGCCCACGCATCACAGGTTGAAGTCTGCAAATCACGCGTAAAATATTCAACTTGGCAACATCTATAGGAGGCTAGACTCCGTCACATTGCACAACCTACGCGCGCAACGCAAATGCCCGAAACGCCCGAATAGCACGTGTTTGTCGTGTCGCTTCGCGAATTGCGGACAAACGCGAGTGTATTGTTTATGTTTATGTTAGGTTATTGGTTAGGGGCTCTATGAATTTCTGAAAAATGAGTGTTTTAAACGATTGCGATTTAGTGGAATACTTTTTGGTAAACCCATTCAGTGCTTTGTCTTATGATGATAAATTGATTGTGAAAAACAAACGTTATAAGCTATTTTGTTGGTACTGCGTATTATTTTCAACCGATAAGTCATCATATTGGGTGCGATTTTAGGATAATAATGATTTGAAAAATTTGCCTCGCGGATTGGATAGACACTGCAAATCACAGGAACACATCTCTTCAAGTATCAAGTTCAGGTTAACTGGTAAACAGAATGTCATTAAATCTATTGATTTGGGTGAGTAGAGAGTTGTTTTTCACAATAAATCTCATATCATTCAGCCTCCTCTGTCATGAAAGTCACGAGCCGCCACTGCTTAATGATATGTGATCTAATAAACAAACTGTTATTGATAACTAAACAGTCTCTCTGGAGTAGTATCTAAGATCAGCCATTAAATGTGTATGATGAAATGTTAGTTGCTATGGTTTAGTATTAATTATGTGAGGCTTATTTTCATGTAAGGATGTATGTATGTACTTGTTAAGTTCACTTGTACGATGAACTGATGTTTAGTAGTAATAGAAAAGAAAAAAACACATATGATAACATGCTACAATATTGACATTCGAAAGAAATACAAGAATTTGAACATTTGAAAAAAATTGTTTTGGAAATTTTTGGAAAAATGCCACATGGAATTCTTGATTCACCCAGAATGTGATGTGAGATTTTTGAAAATGAGAATTTCTACTCTCAACAAACTAACCTAGCAGTGAACATATCGTTTCATCCACATTTCATGACTCCCGTATCGCGTTGTTCCCACATTTCAATTGGCCTATATTTCGTTAGGCCCACATATCGATAATTACAGTCTCCGAACATACCCGAAGGATATAATATATCCAAATACTATGCATTATACGCAATTCTACGAAAAAAAAAATACTTTCTAGGACAAAAATTCATTTAGGCCGAGTTAGGTCAGATTATTTAGAAAAAGTAGTGAAAGACACACTTTTACAGAGGGCTTACTATAACCTGCAGGAGTACTATAACTTTTGTTTGTTGAATACTCATTTTATATGTTTGTAACAAATGGGATATTGTCTCTTATATTGTAATTTCCATCTTTCTATAATTGTGTTATATTTTAATATTATTTTCTTCTTTGACGGAAAAAAGGTTTACATTTCATCTTTGTAGGTTATAGAATGTCACTTTTCATTAATTACTTCTTCGCACGGGAAAAAAGTGTGTACTTTATTCCCGGAGATATATATCCTTTTTTCACGGACTTCATTTCCACTTCGCGGTTACTTAAATTACTAAACAACCACAAAGTTAATGTTTTAAAATCAAATAACAGAATTCGAGACAGAATTAGACTGACAGATATTTGATTACTTCAAAAGAACGATGAAGATACTTGCGGCGCAGGTGTAATTCCTGTTAAAAGCTTCAAATTTCACGTCGATAATTTTCTAATTTTGATAATGAATTATCTTCTCAATATTGATTCATCTTTTTTCCTGTCACAGAAAAAAATAGTGTATTATGCACGGGACAAATATTAGATTTTAGCTCACTATTTTTTGTCTCCCGACGCGCTAAGATCGAGCAAAGGTCTACTACTTTCTTCCCTTGTATGGAGTTATGGAGTGTCTTTTCTCAATATTGACTCTAGTCGATGAAACTTCATTTTTACTTACGTTTGAATTCTGATGAAGCCAGAAGCAAACTAAAAGTAATTCTTATCACGGGATTGGCACATTCACTCTTTGCCAAAAAGAACCTGTTTCTCCTGGACTAATTGTTCGATTCAAATGTTCGAGTGCTCATTCTTTTTAGAAATCAATGATCTGAAATTGTATCGGTCCTGATTAGAAGAATACAAATTTTTTTATTCGTCATAGATTTTTGAAAATCACAAAAATTCTGGATTCTCCACCATTTTGTTTCTCTCAATTATTGGATTTTCAAATGTTCCATTGTGTACTACAGTTCTTTATCTTTGGTATAACTCTAAGAAATCCAAATTCGATTGAATTTTCATGAAGCCTGGAGATAAATAATAATAATCGTTTATACGAGATTTGCACATTCACTCCATAACAAATTGCAAAGAAATGAGTGTATATACTGGACTATTTGTTCGATTTCGATGTTCGAGTACTCATTCTCTTCAGAAATGGATAGCCTAAGAAGACATCGGTACAGATTGTAAAAAATCTGATTTTCTTTTTCTCCAGCGGTTTTTGTAAATGAAAATACTTTGGTAGAATCCGCCATTTTGTTTTTGTTCATTATGAAATTTTCAAATATTCCACTGTATACTATAGCCCTTTAGCTATGAAACGACGCCAAGAAATTATAAGATATTTGCTGGTTCACGACGCTCCAAAATTTCATCTTGATGTTATTTTTTTACAATTCTCTAATTTTATTTGTATTTGTATGCATTATTGTCATATTGTATTATATTATTTACTGAACCATGCTTTGTCAATATAAGGTTGATATCTTCGACAATAAAGTATATTTTTGATTGATTGTGTAAGTTTAATGACTGTGGGTTTATCGAAATATGGGCTTAAAGAAATGTGGGCGTATCGAAATGTCGGAGTAACGAAATGTGGACACAACCTAGCATACTCACCTAGCATTGAAGAAGGGAAAATATAATTTTCACAAAACTTGAATATGAAAGAAGTTGATATAACCGGCAAAGTGATCATTCAATGAAGAAACTATTGAATACTCAAAATATGAAGGTTTATTGTTGTTACCTACAAGAAAAAAATCTTCAGATCAACTAAAAACCAATAACACTAGAATTGGAAAAATTGTTAATTTGATCCATATTTTATTGTGAAAATATCAATAACAGTCATTATTAGTTTGAAGGAATTTTTTCCATACTCTCAGTATTTTCATTAAGCCTTTGTTGACAGCTATCTATCAGTCAACAGATTTTCAAGAAAAATGTTTGGTGAAGTCAGTAATAAACGATTTTTATGAGTTTTCAAAATGGTGTTCCTCAACTTCAGTTTTATTGATTTTTGGTTGACCTAGAGATTCCTGTAAGAGAGAGAGAGAGAGAGAGAGAGAGAATATACTTTATTGTCATGAAGAAAAGGTACATTCTTATGGACAAAGCACATATGTAGAGTTAAAAGTGTAAATAAAAAACTAAAAATATAAAACAGACATTAAAAAGACTCTTACATTAGCAAAGGGTACATATAATTAGAATTGATCAGAATAAAATTCCTCCAAACTATAGTAAGGCCGATCTGATAATAGCAAATGGACAGCTTTTTTAAAATGGTCAATGTGGGTGATATCTCTTATATAGTCGGGCAAATGATTGAACATCTTGCATCCATTATAAATGAGTGAATCCTTTACTAGAGAAGAACTTGGTATTGGTAAGTTTATACTGTTATGCTTACGGGTAGAGTAATAGGAAGGAGTAGTATTAAATTTATGGATGTGTTTTTTGATGAGATATACTGATTCAAGGATGAAGATTGCAATAACAGTTAGTAATTTATGCGATACAAACAGCGGTTTACAGGAAACACGCATTTTAACTTTGGACATATATCTAATCGAGCGTTTTTGCAGTACCAGTATACTTAGCATGAGGTTATTATTACATACTCCCCAGAAAGGAATACCGTATCTCAGGTGAGACTCTATCAATGCATGGTAGACTAATTTTGCAGCTGAGGGTCCAAGTTCCTTTGTTACTGTTCTCACAGCGAAACAACCAGAGGCCAATTTCTTATTCAAGTTCAAAACATGTTGTTCAAATTTCAATTTATTATCGATAAAAACCCCTAAAAATTTAGTCTTATTGCAGCTTTCAATGAGGCCATTATCTAGTTCAATATTGATTATTTCACACCTGAAGGATATTATGTTGGTTTTTGTTACATTTAGAGCAAGACGATTTGAGTCACACCAACTTTTTAATACTTTAATGTCTACTTGGATTTTTTCTTCTAGTGCATCTGCATTATTTTCATGC